TTAATGTGGTATTTAGAGACACACAACAGTCTCTCCCGCTAGTCAATATAGCTTTCCCTAAGGGGCGTTCTAACCATAGACCCCCTTACTACGCTTGGATACTATGTTCGTAATGCCCCTTTTCGAATAATCACTCAGTTATCGCCATATTTTTTGACCTTGAGAAGGCATATGACACAACTTGGAGGTTAAAATTTTGGCCCAGGCCCATCCCTTAGGCCACCGAGGCAATCTAACCATCCTTCCTTAAGAACTTTTTAACTGACAGACATTTCCGTGTTCGAGTCAATAATGTTCTTTCCCCGGACTTTTCGTCCAAACTGAAGGTTCCCTCAGGGATGTGTTCTAAGCACAACACTTTTTCTCCTTGCTATAAATGATTTGGCCTCTGTTCTTCCACCCAAAATTTGGTCATCACTCTATGTTGATGACTTCGCTATTGCTTGTGCAGGCGCTGACTGTCATCTTAAATTTCAGTTTCTCTCCAGCATGCGTCCCACCGTGTTTCCACTTGGGCCACCACGCATGGGTTTAAATTTTTTAAGTACCAAACTCACCAAATTACTTTTACTAGACGCCTTTTATCTCCGATCATCCTTTGTATCTCTATGGCTCCCGTATCCCCGAACGTAATACAGTCAGGTTTCTAGGCCTTTCTCTTTGACTGTCGGTTATCCTGGAAACCTCACATAACCTCTCTGAAGGCAACTTGTCACAGCCGGCTAAACCTTCTTAAAACCCTTGCTCATCTTTCCTGGGGAGCTGATCGTCGAACCTGCTTCGCCTACATTCAGCCCCCGTTTTATCGAAACTCGATTAGGTGACCAGATTTATTCCGCGGCCTCTTTCCCGCTACTCTCTCTAGCCTTAACTCTATCCATCACCAAGGATTTCGTTTGTGCCTTGGTGCTTTTTCGCTCTTCCCCCGTTGAGAGCCTCTATACAGAAGCGAATGTTCCATCCTTGTCTGATCGCCGTGATGGGCCCCTTCCTTCGCTACTATGTACGCTCTTTACGATCTAAAACCCAAACCTTCCATTTATAGAATGGTCACCGATATTAGTAGACATTCTTTTTTTCGGGTTTGCCGCCCCTTTTGCTCCGTCCCTTTTCTCTTCGCCTACATTCACTGTCTTCCCTTCAGTTTTCCACCTTTATATGTTATGTAGCATTTTCCTTTTCCCTACCCCCCTAGGGAAATTCCAGCTGTTCGGGTCTGTTCTTTCTCACTCCCTTGCTCGAAAGCTCAACTGCCTACGGTGGCTTCCCCTCTCTTTTCTTAATCACTTCCACTCCCTTCTCATGCCACCGCTGTGTACACAGATGGCTCTAAGTCTTCAGACGGCTTCGGATTCGCAGCAGTGTTTCCGGACAGCGTCGTGCGGGGACATTTACTATCTTCAGCTAGCATTTTTACTGCTGAACTGTATGCCATTCTTGCAGCACTTTTTCGTATCGCATCTATGCCTGTGTCAAACATTTGTAGTAGTCTCAGACTCCCTTAGTGCTCTACAGGCTATACGAAAATTTGATACATCTCATCCCCTAGTTCCCGTATCCAACTTTGGCTACGCCGTATCTCTACCAAACATAAAGATATTGTTTTTTTTTTGGGTCCCTGGTCAGTTCGACGTACAGGCAATGAAAAGGCAGACACTGCTGCGCGGTCAGCAGTACATGACCTAAACCCAAATTTTCCCATCGAGGTGTTCCATTTCTGGACTATTTTTTGCTGCAATAGCTACCCACCTTCGCACCCGTTGGCAACAACGTTGGTCAACTCTGCTCGGTAACAAAATTCATTCTATTAAACCGAGCATAGGTTACTGGCCGTCTTCTTGTCATCAGTGCGAGGTTGGGAGACCCCCTCTTCTCCCGCCTTCGCATTGGTCACACTCGTCTTACTCTGGTATCTCATGGAGAGGCACCCTGTTCCTCTCTGTGAGCAGTGTCCAAATTTTCCCGTATCGATTAGCCACATTCTGTTAGACTGCCCTCTCTATCAACGAGCACGCAGAATTTACCTCCAACGTCGTCTTCGTTCTACTACTCTCTCTTTACCTTCCCTTCTTGCTGATGGACCCTCCTTTAATCCTGACTCTCTCATTGACTTCTTGACAACGACTGATTTACTCCACAAACTCTGATGATACTTTTCGCACTCCCCTCAGCCCTTTCTAGTTCAGTCTCTTGCTGCCCTTTACCCTTTCACCATCCACTGCCCCGCTGTTATCCGTAACCTATTACTCATCCATCTCCCTTTTGCCACCTGATGCCCTCGCTTCCTCCCTGCCCTGCAGCGCTGTATAGTCCTTGTGGCTTAGCGCTTCTTTTTGATTATAATAATAATAATAATTATGTATTAAGGGCAGTTACTGGGCCAACACAGATTCATAGTTTTCTCTAACACTGGACCAGAGAAAACATAATTTTTACCCTCCACTACATATAAACATTGCATATTTATATGCTATGTAACATGTTTCTTACATAATTTTGAAGAAACCATCATAGTTGGATTAATGAAAATGACTATATTAACATAAAGTAAGACATTTAATGTGCCCAAGAGTGAGTCACTAATATATAAAAGGCCCAGGCAGACACATCCGGTACCGACAATTTCCGAGCAGACGTACGAAACCCAGGGGAAATTTGCCAAAAAAGTGCTCTAAATCCGAATTGTATGATTTCCGCACTGGCCGAAAACCAGGGGTCCACTGTATCTAGGCCAAAATTTACCACTCACAGCTGAGTTGAGCTCATGACTTAAATCTATGTGCTGGACTCCTTGTGTCAATGTAGATCTAAGTGACAGTGAAATGGCTAATAGAGAAGAGTAAACAAATATGTAACAGATAGGCAATGACATTTACCGAGTTCTTCCGCTAAAACCAAGAGAGCGTTCAACTGTGGTAGCATTCATCATGTGTGTAAACGGAATATAACATTTCTTATCAAAAATTTGAAGGAAAAAGACATTTACTCTTTACAGATTTTTATAAGTTTCCTTACTAGGATTAAACAAATCCTGAGTATTGTTTATTTCAGTCTCATCAAAACATTGCAGTAGAAAAAAGTAAATCTAAATTATAGCCAAAAAATATAAAATAAAAAAGCTCAAGATCATTAATTAAAAAAAAAAAAAAAGCATACAGCACTACATTAAGACTATCATTAGTATACCTCCACTAAGAAACTTTGCCTCTAAACTGGTATAGTCTATTACTATTGCTGACTGATTGAGGTAGTTGGATTTAACAACATGGCATGGAATCATTTGGTCAGTGGTTGAGCAATGTGGGTTCACAAAGCCTCGTGAAGAAGAGGTCGGTAAGACCAGTACAAACAAGCAAGTTTGTACACATTTAAGAGACCAGACAAGCCACTAAAAAAAGAAAGTTTCAGTATATCTCTTGCCATAGATTGTGAAAACCTAGTTTAAAGTTGCCACTTTTCTAATGCAAGCAACAGTACACTGTTAATTGGTCATTGTCCAGACTTGCACATACAACTGTTCTTACCGACTCCTTCACATATGGCTGGCTGGCCATTGTTACATGGGACATAAACAAAAGAAAATTTCCCAAATTAGCATTTTTATGTAATTTTCTACTTTATTAAAAAATAAACTGTAAAAAGTTATAATTTAAAGTGTTGCATAACTAAAAAAAACTTAAGATACATTTTGAGAAGTTGAAGCAGTCAAAAAAATGTATTGAGCCTTGTATTGAAAATTGTCATTTACTCTGTATATTATTACTGTAATGATTTTTTTTTATCAAGAAACTTTTATAAGAACTTAATTACTATGTGACTATAGTTCATTACAAAAGTTCATGTACATAATTTTCTATAAATGATTATTACTCTTCCAATCAAATCTATTTTAACTATGATCTCAGTTTAACAAAATGAACAAACATAAGCAGATTCTGCCATCTGCAGAATCTTCATTTTACATTAAAAAAATAACTCAAAGTTACAAGTTTTTGTATGGAGAACTGTCCACTGAACTAGTGGCCTCACATTAGTGTCTCCACAGATATACTGACTAGGCCACGTGTACATGTGAGGCTGCAGGTCTGGTCCCAGGTACTCCTTACACAATTACTTTCACGATGTGGTGAAAGCCTCATTTGACAAGTTTTAACGTTACAGGCGAGTTGTGACAAAGTCCCAGAGCAAAACCTTTAAAGTATTTGCTAAACTTAGTTAAAACTAACAAGGAAGAGAGGAAAAATCAATAACCAGCCAGCACTGTTAAACTTAGGCTAGAAAGAGCAAGTCATTTACCATTCATATTTCAAGATTCTATAAGTCAATTGTTAGAAATAACATAGCATAAATGTTGCACAAGTTTAAACATTTCTGCAAAATTTAGATATTTAAGGAAAAAGAACTACATTGAGTTTTACACTGAAGGATATTGCACATAAGTCACCTAAATATGACTCATGAATTATAACACAATTGCAAACAAATCAGGGAATGGGTGGGGGTTGAAGCCATGGCAAGTGAGTCCTTAAACTCACAGGCCAGTGTGTTAACCACTGGGCCAGTTGGCTCTAATAAGATTCATCCAACTAGGTATAATTCTATACACCATAGGAAGGTTAGTATATAACAATGGTAGAATTACCAACAAAATGTTAGGTAAAGAGGACACAGAGAATTACTGTGGCATTTTATTGTGGTAATGTTTTGCTCTCCAGGAGCTTTGTCAAGTCATAACAGCTTGATAAAGCTCTTGGAGATTGAAACGTCAAAATAAAATGTTACATTAGTTGCATATATCCCCTTTTACCTAACAGCATGGGGCCCACTGTGACCACAAATGCAAGGTTTTATAGATAATTCCCACTTGAGCTACAGTAAGCCACAGCCACCTTGCTGTGGGATTCGTCTGTAAAAACCTACATTTGTGGTCACGGTGGTCCATGCTAACTTCCCTATGGTGTATAGAAATATACCTAAAGCCAGCCTGTCCAGAGGTTAACACACTGGCCTGGAGTTTTAAGACTCCCTTGCCATGGGTTCACCCCCTCCCCCCCAATTCCCTGATTAATATAGTATTTGGTACTGTATATCTTGGATGCTAAATAACAATGTTTACAGTGTGTACTGTAATGCCTAGCTTCTTAGACACACAGCAATGTAATAATGTACCTTGCATCTTCAATGCTAAATAGCAATGCATACCCAATATACTGTAGTTTATCACAATGTGTATCAAATAGTGTACACACTACTATGCCAGAACTTGCATGCTAAAACCCCTTGTTGGTTTAGTGCTTTCTTTGATTATAATTGCATGCTAAATATGTACAGAGTACACTACTACTGGAGGATAAATATACCAAGTACACTGTATTAAGCCAGATGTTGGATGCTAAACAAAACTGAATACTCTGTACTGCATTAAATCATGGACACTAAACCTGTACCGAGTAAACTATTGTATCTTGTGTACTTAATAATCATGTAACAACTACCCAGTTTATCTTGCCAATGACAAACTGATGCCACCCTCAGTGCTTAACACATTTCACAACTCCAAAAAAAAAAAAAAAAAAAAAAAAAAAAAAAAAAAAAAAAAAAAAAAATAGAGATGAAATGTTATCTAATTTCATCAATTCCTTGGTTGTAAATTTGCCCAGTCACAATATTGTGACTTGTTTTTTTTTTCTTTGAAACGAAAAAAAAAAAAATTTTACTAATACTATACACTTATTTCCCCTCAAGGAAGGTTCCTTGATGTTGGTGAGGGGCTCTTGATTTAGGGAATTGGATCTGTGCTCCAGTTCCCCGAATTAAGCCTGAATGCCTTCCACATATCCCCCCCCCCCAGGCGCTGTATAATCCTCCGGGTTTAGCGCTTCCCCCTTGATTATAATAATAATAATAATATACACTTATTTGCTGACATGTCTTAAAAGCACTTGAGGGAATGTGAGAATGTGTGTGGATGAGACGGTAAACTATATGTCGGTATAAAAAGTAGTGGAGTATGTATTTAGAGAGAGCAGGATGAATAATGTGTTGGGATAATTTAAAGAGTGGTGTGTGTGTGTGTATGTCAGAAGCTGTGAAGTATGTAAGTTTGCTGGGATAGCATTATTATTACTTTGAGGGAAGGGGGAAAGGAGTGCTAAACTTGTAGGGATTATACAGCACCTGTAGGAATAGGAAGCAACCAAGTGTGATCCAAGGAAGGGAAGGTAAGGTCCTATTACTGGTACCAAGAGTCCCTCGCCAGCTTCAAGGAACTTTGACGCTGGTGGCTGAATGTGTATTTGCGAGGATAGATGTGTAGTGGTGTGTCTGTGTGTGTGTGTGTGTGTATACTTGCCTATTTGTGGTTGCAAGGGTTGAGTCATAGCTCCTGGCCCTGCCTCTTCACTGATTGCTACTGGTCCTCTCCCTGCTCCATGAGCTTTATCAAACCTCATCTTAAAACTATGTCTGGTTCCTGCTTCCACTACGTCACTTTCTAGGCTATTCCACTTCCTGACAACTCTGTGACTGAAGAAATACTTCCTAACATCCCTTTGACTCTTCAACTTCGAATTGTGATCCCTTGTTTGTCCCATCTCTGGAACATCTTGTCTTTGTCCACCTTGCCAATTCCTCGCAGTATTTTGCGTGTCGTTATCGTGTCTCCCCTGTCCTCCAGTATCGTCAGGCTGATTTCCCTTAACCTTTGCACTTTCTCTAATTTCTTGATGTACTTAACCAGGTGTGGATTTCAAACTGGTGCTGCATACCAATATGGGCCTGACACATATGGTGTACAGAGTCTTGAACAATTCCTTACTGAGGTATCGGAATGCTATTCTTAGGTTTGCGTTAGTGTGTGTGTGTGTCAGTGTCAGGATAGATACCAAGAGAAGAGTAAGTTAATCACCTCAAGAAGATCTATCCCAAGGTAAGTCACTCGCCTCAAGAAAATCGGTTAAAATTGTGAATTTGTGTACATAAGTAACCTTCCTCAAGTGATAATATATGTGAGTCACTGACTGACTAACCATTATACAATGAGCAAATGTTGGCAAATTATTGCTTAATAACTATTTTCTTTTATATTATTATAATACTACAGAAAAGATAAGTACTTGCTAATTAAATCAGTTAAAAAATTAATTATTTTGTGGGTGCAATAAAGATGAATTAAATAATGAAGATACTTGTGGCGTGCATAATACACATTTCCAGTACCATGTAGATTACATTCATCAATTCTGAGTTGCTACTGATACTTGACACACAATGAATAGTAAATGACACCTCTTATTGGCAATTAATGTACAACTGCCTCACTCTTTGGATGTGGGATACGATGGTGGGATATAAGCCAGGGCTTCTGTTGTAAGCCCAATGTATTGGCAATACTGAATGCTATTGCATATGGATAACCTACATAGAAATCACAAAAGTTCACCACAACACAAGCTTAGTATATTTTGTAGTAAAACATCACTCATGATTAGCCTCAGGAGAACTATAAAACAGTTGAGAATATGCTGAATGATTTGAGCGGCAGGGTTGAAACCTGTGGTCTGACAGTCTTAGAATTACCAGTCCAGCCAGAGCCTTAGCTTCCTACACCAGTCATAAGAGTTAGTCAAACAGATTTACTGGTAAGAAGTCTTATGACTCTGTGATGCAGTTCATTAATGCACCTGGCTAATAATTCTAGGACTGAAATATCAGAGGTTTAAACCCCATCACGACAGACGAAGTTACATTAATTTATTACGAACTTTCAACACATTGTACGAGGTTTGTACGAGCAAAGACTGCCACATCTTAAAACAATCAAGTACAAAAGCTGGTGTACCCTCTGGGAAGGTAGCAGCAGCTATACACCTTTCCTCCTAACTCATAATGTTGGTTTTGTACTATATTAACTTAAGCCAATTCTTCTACATATGTTATTCAAGTTAAGTAAACATCTATTAACCAAATTTAACCAATTATTACATACATTAGCACCTTTAAATGCAATCGTACATAAAGGCGAGACTATGTTTTGATGAGCAAATAAAAAACAGAACCACTGAGAGGGCTGAAGAAGAGAATACAATACTGTATATAACACAAAACCGAGAATACAATAGTGTATGTAACACATACCCAATGTTCACATCTTGAGTGTCAGTTACTTTTTCCACTATCCTGAGTCATAGTAAACACCCATGTTTGTTGAGGAGGATGGGTTGCAGCTATGTAACATACTAAACAAGGACTCAAAACATAACCTGAGCCTTGGTTTACTTTGAACTTGGCTGACACTTTCTTAAATATATATTACAATGTACAGTACTGAGAAATTCATTATGAATGAATGTAAAAAAAATTTTAAGTAGTTATCAGAATCTGAACATTTAGTTTGGCCATCCTGAAATTACCAGGATATCTGTCTGCTATGCTACAGATTAGCACGCTAAACTCCTGCTACTCAGTACAGCCAGACCACAAGTTTAAATCCCAATTACTAATTAAAAATACATTACAATGACACTGGGCTTTGACCACCCATGTTAAGATTACAATAAGCACATAAAATTAGCTCAAAATCTACTAATACAAGCTACAATTACAAAAGTGCCCAATAGGGCTAAATAATTATATTTTTAGAAAAAATGTCTTAATATAACACATGAGATTATGGATGTTGGTTGGATAAATGCAATGCCTATAAAATAACAGCCATCTGTAGATTGCTGTTAGCAATTCTAAACAAGCAGTGCAAATAGGCATTGCACAAAACCAACCATAACTCATATGAAAACTATCAAGGGTAAAATGGTGTGAAGGTTTGTTATAAAAAAATACTCGGTTCTCTACTGACAAAGACCTCCACCTACGTATGATTGGTTAGGAATGAGCACAACAAAACTCCTGATATGGGTCCACTGGAATGAGTTACTATGGAGATTTTTGAGGTATAGTGGTTGGACAGGCACTTGGTGGGGGCTCAGGGTGTGCACCACTAAGAGGAACTGTAAACTGTTTCTGCTGCTCAAGCTGCACATGCTTAGGTACATATACATTGACATACAGGGAATGCATCAATAAAAATGTGCATCAGCAACATATGGAATGTATAAAAACAAGTGACTATCATTAGTTTGTTGCCAGAGGCAACCAATCCTCATTTTACACCGTTCATTTCCTTATGCATTACATTGCATCAGTTTCAAATAATTCTCTTTGCACACATTTAATTTTAATTATTTTACATTAGGCTTGGTTAAATAAACCTATATAATATATATAAGTATAGTTAACTGCCAATAAGCAAATTACAAGTGGCAAAATGTATAAAAATTGGTATGTTATTCACGCATGGTGTGATGAGGGGTTGCAGGAGGAAGCAATACCAGCTGGCTGTGCTGGACATCACAGACTTTACATATGACATGTAGTAAAGCAAATCATTTAATGACCTGCTTTTTTAGTACACATGGAGACTACCCTTCTATCTGTAACATGGTAAGTCAATACCCTCAAGGAATCTTATAGCACAAACAAGACCATTTTTGAAAAGTACATTTTGAATACCAGTCTCCCAGACTTATGAACAAGTTGTCCCTGGTGTTCCAACTTTACAAACTGTAACATGGAACCTATTTTCCTACAGAATACAATACTGTAGTCCAGAAATTGGTTATGTTCAACAAATTTATATTTGCAGATCAAGGGTCATAAAAATTAATTGGTTTGTCAGCTCCCCATTCATAAAAGCAAGTTTATAATTCTGATTAATTGCATTCCTGGTGCTGCTTTAACTTAAACAAGTTTGTGACCCTCATCCTATTATCTTGTAGCAACTAATATATTAGTAGAAAGGACAGTGTCACATTTGTTGGTCAATATTTTCTTTAGAACTCGTTTGTGCGAGTGAGCACACATAATTGGAGGCGTTCGTAAGTTAGGGACCCCCTGATTATCCACTTAAGTGTAATAAGAGCACAGGTAAAAGCAGCAAGAGCAAGAGAAAAAACAATTAATGATAGCTAGCCCACCCTGAGCAGTTCAGGCCCTCAGTGACCTTCCAACATTCATCCTAAACAGCTGCCGTTCATCCATTCTATTATAGCAACGTTATGTAGTGTGAGAAGTGCATTCACACTGATACCTTGAAGTTGGTATTACACAATGTGGCTACAAGCACTGCTCACATAACTCAAACAGGATAACTGAAGTTATTTTCATTCAACAACTTGGGAATGAATGTTGTTAAGTCAATGAGGTACTGTTGGTTGGTGGCACAACTGAGGTAGTGTATGGTTCCTGTGTGGCAGTTAAATTACCTGTGGTACCTGAGCGAGATTTAACAAGAATCTTCTAAGGTCATCCCTCAAAATTTTCATTTTGTTAAACTAATTTGAGATTTCTTAAAGTACAGTACACAATGGCTGACACACACAAGCAATATTCAGAATTATACTTATGTATGTCATAATAATGGTACATTATATATGCTCTGAAACACTTGTTTCTGTGATCCCTTGCTGGCAAATCTATAGTATAAAAATGAGGCAGACAGCTTGTAAACAAGTGGTGGGTCCAAATATGATCTGCTCACCCTGCTACCACAGGCTTGTAATGCACTCTCCAGAAAGTAGTTACTATGGAAATACTGGTAAGTGGCTGTGCACGTTTGGCAGTGACAGTTGTGATGAGTCTTAATACTAAAATGATTTTAAATGCAAATTTGCAAACATGATGGCATGTTACCCTGAATGCTATTAAATCATCATAGAAATACCTAGTATAAGGTGTGATCCATAGTGGTATCCAAATTTAAAAAACCAACTTTGAGAATTTTTCTTACCCAGAGAAGATAAAATTTTCCCTTATTGATGGCTGAAAAATATATTACCATGGGGAAAAAAGAGTATTATTTAAAGAATGGTTTTTAGAAATTTGCAACAAATGAATCTTCACATGAAATAATTGAAATTAGGCATTTCTATTAAAATTTACTCCAAATACGTGAAAAAGCAATTTTGCTAACTAAACTCGACCATTATTACCTAGCATACTCTCATACATAATGAATAAGGATGAGAGGATCTAAATTTTGTAATTCAGGACTTATTCCCTATTATTTTAATTGCATATTTTTACTCTCGTCTTCCCTGTTATCCTGGTTCTTCTTCTTCATCGCTAGAGTCAATCTTTTCCCTTTCTTCCTCCTCTTCCTCTTCTTCCTCCTCTTCCTCCTCCTCTTCTCCCACCATGAGACCAGATACCCCAGAATGTGAGGGACCAGCCTGAAGTTCAGCAGATGTTGTCACAACTGGCATGCCACCACCGAATGACTTACTCTGCAGGTTTACAGAGATTCCGATTTTGTCCTCAGCAAGTTCCGAAAACTGAGCCTTTGGAATAAACACAAAGCATTTATTTTTGCAATAGATCAAATTAAAAATAAACCTTATTAGCTCTACAGTTAAAACTAGAGTAGACACCCATAAGAACTGCATTTGCACACTGTTTTGATCACGGTTCAATTTCGAAACAGCATTGTATGACCCTCGTGGGTTTAGCACTTAGTTATGATTATAATAAATCAAAAGTGCATCCAAATACAGTGGACTCTCAACCAACGATATTAATCCGTTCCTGAGAGCTCATCGTTAGTCGAAATAATCGTTTGTCGAGTTAATTTTCCCCATAAGAAATAATGGAAATCAAATTAATACATTCCTGACACCCCAAAGTATTGAAAAAAAAAAATTTTACCACATGAAATATTAATTTTAATACACACAAACTGAAGACATGTACAGTTACACGACACTTACTTTATTGAAGATCTGGTGATGATTGATGCGATGGGAGGAGGGGAGAGTGTAGATGAGGTTAGTGTTTAGAAGGGGAATCCCCTTCCATTAGGACTTGAGGTGGCAAGTCCTTTTCCAGGGTTACTTCCAGCTTGAGAGTCACTGGACTTCTGTCGCACATATCTGTCCATAGAGGCCTGTACCTCTCGTTCCTTTATGACTTTCCTAAAGTGGTTCACAACAGTGTCATTGTACAGGTTGCAAACACGGCTTGCAGTAGCTGTCTGAGGGTGATTTTCAGCAAAAAAGGTTTGCACTTTAAGCCACACTGCACACATTTCCTTAATCTTTGAAGTAGACAACTTCTTCAATTTCTCTATCCCCTCCTCCGGAGCAGTTTCCTCAGGTCTGGCCACTTGCTGTTGAAGATGATCTTGCAACTCATCAGTGGTTAGTTCTTCATTGTCCTCCTCCACCAACTCTTCCACATCCTCCCCACTAACCTCCAACCCCAAGGACTTCCCCAGTGCCACAACTGATTCCACAACTGGCATAGGCTTCTCAGGGTTAGCCTCAAATCCTTCAAAATCCCTTTTGTCTACACATTCTAGCCACAGTTTTTTCCAAGCAGAGTTCAAGGTCCTCTTAGTCACTTCCTCCCAAGCCTTACCTATAATGTTTACACAATTGAGGATGCTAAAGTGATCTCTCCAAAACTCTCTTAGAGTCAATTTAGTTTCTGAGGTCACTACAAAGCACCTTTCAAACATAGCTTTTGCGTACAGTTTCTTGAAGTTGGAAATGACCTGCTGGTCCATGGGCTGCAGGAAAGGAGTGGTATTAGGAGGCAAAAACTTGACCTTGATGAAGCTCATGTCCCCAGAAAGTCGCTCTGCCAAGTCTGAAGGATGACCAGGAGCATTGTCTAATACCAGGAGGCACTTAAGGTCCAATTTATTTTCCAAGAGGTAATTTTTCACAGTGGGGGCAAATGCATGGTGTAACCAATCATAGAAAAAGTCCCTAGTGACCCATGCCTTACTGTTTGCCCTCCACAGCACACAAATTAGCCTTGAGGACATTGTTTTTCCTGAACACTCTGGGAGTTTCAGAGTGATACACCAATAAAGGCATCACTTTGCAATCACCACTAGCATACATCAACAGAGTAAGCCTGTTTTTCATAGGCTTATGTCCTGGGAGTGCCTTTTCCCGAGTAATGTAGGTCCTGCTTGGCATTTTTTTCCAAAACAGGCTTGTTTCATCACAATTAAACATTTGTTCAGGTTTCAGTCCTTCATTGTCTATGCACTCCTTGAATTCCTGCACATATTTTTCAGCCGCTTTGTGGTCCGAACTGGCAGCCTCACCATGCCTTATAACACTATGCCACTACGATTCTTAAATCTCTCAAACCAACCTTTGCTGGCCTTAAATTCACTCACTTCACCACTAGTTGCAGGCATTTTTTTAATTAAATCGTCATGCAACTTCCTAGCCTTTTCACATATGATACACTGATACACTCTTGAAGTCACTCTGTTTCGCTCCATTCTCTCTACATGTCCGAACCACCTCAACAACCCTTCCTCAGCCCTCTGGACAACAGTTTTGGTAATCCCGCACCTCCTCCTAACTTCCAAACTACGAATTCTCTGCATTATATTCACACCACACATTGCCCTCAGACATAACATCACTGCCTCCAGCCTTCTCCTCGCTGCAACATTCATCACCCATGCTTCACACCCATATAAGAGCGTTGGTAAAACTATACTCTCATACATTCCCCTCTTTGCCTCCAAGGACAAAGTTCTTTGTCTCCACAGACTCCTAAGTGCACCACTCACCCTTTTTCCCTCATCAATTCTATGATTCACCTCATCTTTCACAGACCCATCCGCTGACACGTCCACTCCCAAATATCTGAATACATTCACCTCCTCCATACTCTCTCCCTCCAATCTGATATCCAATCTTTCATCACCTAATCTTTTTATCCTCATAACCTTACTCTTTCCTGTATTCATTTTTAATTTTCTTCTTTTGCACACCCTACCAAATTCATCCACCAATCTCTGCAACTTCTCTTCAGAATCTCCAAAGAGCACAGTGTCATCAGCAAAGAGCAACTGTGACAACTCCCACTTTATGTGTGATTCTTTATCTTTTAACTCCATGCCTCTTGCCAAGACCCTCGCATTTACTTCTCTTACAACCCCATCTATAAATATATTAAACAACCACGGTGACATCACACATCCTTGTCTAAGGCCTACTTTTACTGGGAAATAATTTCCCTCTTTCCTACATACTCTAACTTGAGCCTCACTATCCTCGTAAAAACTCTTCACTGCTTTCAGAAACCTACCTCCTACACCATACACCTGCAACATCTGCCACATTGCCCCCCTATCCACCCTGTCATACGCCTTTTCCAAATCCATAAATGCCACAAAGACCTCTTTAGCCTTATCTAAATACTGCAGGTGCAATCACTAAAAATGCTGTGATAATATGAAATGTTCCGATTGTATGTTTGGATGCAACTGCGGTGGCTGGCTTGTAAACACTGGCACCCACGGGACAAGTGAGGCGCGCTCAGGCCACACGTGGACGCGTCTCGAACGGAACGAATCGTGTTGGTCGAGTTTTTTTAGCGCTAGTCGAGGCAAAATTTTTGCTTTAAAATGTATCGCTAGTCGGATTTAACGTCATACGATGCCATCGTTGGTCAAGGGACCACTGTACAGTGGAACCCTGGTTTTCGCCCTTAATCTGTTCCAGAAGGTCAGTCGAAATCCAAAATGGACGAAAACCTTAGTAATATTTCCCATAAGAAATAATGTAAATCCAATTAATCCGTTCCAGACACCCAAAAACATTAACAAAAAATATATTTTATAGAGAATAACTATAGTTATACATACAGAAAACAATGAGAAATAAATATAAATGACTAACAAACAATTATCAGGAGATAGTGTTTCACAGTCAATCATATGTTGCATGATGATCTAATTAAGAAAATGCCTGGTACTAGTGCTGATGTTAGTGAATTTAATGCCAGCAAAGGTTGGTTTGAGAGATTTAAGAATGATAGTGGCATACACAGTGTGATGAGGCATAGTGAGGCTGCCAGTTGTGACCAAAAAGCGGCTGAAAAAATATGTGCAGGACTTTAAGGGGTACATAGAGGGTGAAAAATTAAAACCCCAACAAGTGTTCAATTGTGACAAAACAGGCCTGTTTTGGAAGAAAATGCCAAACAGGACCTACATTACTCAGGAGGAAATGGCACTCCCAGGACACAAGCCTATGAAAGGCAGGCTAACTCTCATGTTTTGTAGTAATGCTAGTGGGGATTGCAAAGTGAAGCCTTTACTTGTGTATCACTCTGAAACTCCCAGAGCGTTCAAGAAAAACAGTGTCGTCAAGGCTAATTTGTGTGTGATGTGGAGGGCAAACAGTAAGGCATGGGTCACTAGGGACATTTTCCATGATTGGTTCTATCACATGTTTGGCCCCAGTGTGAAAAAATGCCTCCTGGTATTAGACAATGCTCCTGGTCATCCTCCAGACTTGCAAGAGTGAATTGTGGGGGAGATGAGTTTCATAAAAGTGAAGTTTTTGCCTCCTAACACCACTCCTCTCTTCCAACCCATAAACCAGCAGGTTATTTCAAATTTCAAAAAACTGTACACCAAAGCAGCATTTCAAAAGTGCTTTGAAGTGACCCCAGACACTGAATTGACCCTAAGAGAGTTTTGGAAAGATCACTTCAGTATCCTCAGTTGCATCAACCTTATAGGTAAGGTTTGGGAGGGAGTGACTTGCAGGACTTTGAACTCTGCTTGGAGAAAAACTGTGGCCAGAATGTGTACAAGAGAGGGAATTTGGAGGGTTTGGGGCTAACCCTGAGGAGCATATACCAGTTGTGGAATCTATTGTGTCATTGGTGAAGTCCATGGGGTTGGAGGTTAGTGGCGAGGATGTGGAAGAGTTGGTGGAGGACGACGATGAAGAGCTAACCACTGATGAGCTGTAAGAGCATCTGCAATAGCAACAGACCACAGCTGAGGATATTGCTTCAGAGGAGGGGGGAGAGAGATGGAGGAAGTTGCCTTCTTCAACGATTAAGGACATTTGTACAACGTGGACAAAGGTGCAAGCCTTTATGGATGAACATCACCCTGACACAGCTGTTGCAAGCTGTGCTGGTGACTTTTACAATGACAATGTTGTGTCCCATTTTAGAGAAATCTTAAAGACATGCTTGAAACAGAGCTCTATGGACAGATTTTTGGTGCGACAGAGGTCCAGTGGCATTAAAAAACAAAGAAGGGAAGTAACCCTGGAAAAGGACTTGCTACCTAAAGTCCTTATGGAAGGAGATTCCCCTTCCAAACAATAATACACCTCCATCATCTCCCCTCCTCCCATCTCATCACTCATCAATAAGTCTTCAATAAAGGTAAGTGTAAATCATTTTATGAATTACAGTATTTATTCATGTCCCATTGCTTTCTGTGTAGGAAAATGTATATTACAGGTAAAAAAAAAAAATTTAATACTTTTGGGTGTCTGGAATGGATTAATTGGATTTCCATTATTTCTTATGGGGAAAATTAAATCGGATAACGATAAAATCAGTTAAGGACAAGCTCTCTGGAACGGATTAAAATCGTTAACTGTATACTATTTCAAGATTAAAATGGCATCTACACCTACCATTAACTCTTAAACTGTCCAAGCAGATCTACGTTCACATGCGTAGTGCTCCAAAAGTAGATCTACTTTTTTTACATACTGTATTTTCAAATATAACAAAAAAAAAAAACTTAGATCAAAGTTTTTTTTTTACACTTTTTCAAATGTAAAAAAAAGAAAAGAAGATCTACTTTTTTTACATACTTTCAAATGTTGAAAAAATGTAGATCTATGTTTGGACAGTTTAAGGGTTAAATATACAATTTTCTAAGCAGGATACACAAATGTTGAAATTTTGAAGATAATCAGAGGAACCTGTCTCCACTTATCACACAAAACAAAATATGGGAATGGCCTATGTATTACAGGAGGCCCTCCACATTCACAAGGGTTAGGTGATCAAGAACCTCGCGAATCTTGAAAATTCGCTAATGTTTGGTGCACAAATATGATGTAGGGAAATATAATAATACTGTACTGTAACATTCGCGAATGTTTTGATGCGCAAATATTTTTTATTTTTTTTTTTCAACAAGTCGGCTGTCTCCCACCAAGGCAGGGTGACCCAAAAAAGAAAGAAAATCCCCGAAAAGAAAATACTTCCATCATCATTCAACACTTTCACCACACTCGCACATTATCACTGTTTTTGCAGAGGTGCACAGAATACAACAGTTTAGAAGCATATACGTATAAAGATACACAACATATCCCTCCAAACTGCCAATATCCCAAACCCCTCCTTTAAAGTGCAGGCATTGTACTTCCCATTTCCAGGACTCAAGTCCGACTATATGAAAATAACCGGTTTCCCTGAATCCCTTCACTAAATATTAGCCTAACAATACTGCTTCCTTAACCTATTGAACCATGAACAATCGTAAACACATGAAAACATCGTAAAATATTGTATATACATGTTATGGTTTAATAACAAATTGTTAGGTAAGACATATGCAACAGTTAGGTATCATAATAAAGATACCTAACTGTTGCATATGTGTCTTACCTAACAACCTGTCGGTATTTTATACCATTTTAATGTTTAATAACAAGTAATGAACAAACAAAACACTCACCACTCGTAAGGTTAGGAAGATGAACTCTGACGACTTGTGATGATGATGACAATGACAATGATGATAGCGATGATAGATAACCATGTAGTTACTGATAGTTGAATGGAGGTGATTATATGGAGTGTAACTGCATGGCATAATGAGTCAAAAGTGTGGATTCTAATTCTTCACTGCCAGTATCACTAGAGTCAGAGTTAGCAACAGTCAGATTCTGCCACGTGTTGAGGTTCGGTGAGGAGGTTCAGGTGAGGCGGTAGGCATTTGTTTGGTAAATATGATTGGGCAGCTCAGCATTCAAAAATGTTTGAAGCTCACGAAAGTGGAACTCACAAAAGTGGAGGGCTAGCTGTATTTACTTAGGAAACTCACATGTGCAAACTGTCCCATCAATCTTGCCACAGATACATACACAAGCATTCAAAATTTTAAGCAGATCAAATAAGGCATTCTCGAGTGACAAACTAAAATTTGTGAGAGAAATGAAAATGTTGCCGAAAATATTTAAAAAAAAAATAGGAAAATCTTCGCTTATCGTTTTTTTTTTTTTTTTTTTTTTTGGCACTTTTGTGATTTGCACTCTATTTAAAATTCTTCACAATCCTGTAAGAATTTTTTTATTTTGATATGTTAAAAAATCCAATTTAATAAAATTTAAAAAAAAAAAAGGCAAATTGGTAGCCTCAAAGCCCAAAATTAATACAAGAATACTTTCTATTAAAATGCACTAGTTTTGTAGCCAGAAGTCAAATATGGTATATTAGTGCGACTGACCTGTGGTCTGCGGTCACTGGTAGTCATATAACAAACTCCCATCGTGCGAGTAGTGTGGAGCCAGTAGAGGTCACTTATACCTCCTTGTGGGTCATGACGCAAGATAAGTGCACCAGCCATTCTTGGATGAACACCCTCTAGAAAGTCAGACTCTGCAAACCACATTATTCTGTAAGTTTTGCTTCCATTTTCTCCAAGCAATGTGAGAAATTCTCTTAATAGTAAAAAGAATTATTATACATCATTCTGTTAAAGTACAAGTATTAAAATATATAGTGTAGTATCTGTTCTTTAAGGTGAAGTATCAAATAACTAAGAGAACAATTTTACTCATACTACATCACTGGAAATTTTTTATTACAATATACATTTGTTGGCCACAAGAACCATTTGCCACCAGGAAAGGGGGGCCCAAACAAGGAAACATATTCACCACCATCATTTATTCAGAAATTGTCTTTCTAGAAGTGAACAGATATCACAATTCAAATATACATTATGCATGATAAATTTCAGACTGGATACCAATGTTTATTTGTAGTTACTCCTGTGACTATTAAAAGCAGATTTAAAATGCCAGTACACTACTGATGAGAATTTGTAATCATAGAAAATCTACAAAGTCTCTCTAAGTAGTCACTACCAAAATAGTTTGACTACACAGTAGTACTTTTATTTTTAGGATGGTGGAGAAACAGTAAACACTTAATTTACCAGAGTAGCAGTGGCAAGCAGGTGGCTGCTACATAAAACTGTGATGGATACACATGACATTGATTTGTAGTGATTATAATAAGAAACAGTGTTTAACAAGCAAATTTTCTCCACTATTTAGTTCCAACGCCTTGGGAAATGGAAAAGAATCCTTCCTCCATAAGCCATGCATGTCGTAAGAGGCAACTAAAATGCCAGCAGCAAGGGGCTAGTAACCCCTTCTCCTGTATAAATTACAACTCAACTGACTCGATGCATCTTGTCCCATTTTTTAAAGACCATTAAACTGAATGTTTATTGTCTTTAACCACTGTTACTACCAATCTTATTATTATATTTACGTATGTGGAAGAGGTAAACCCACGGATCATACAGTACAGATGCTTCTCACTTTACAATGGTTTGACTTATGATGTTTCAACTTTACAGTACCATGTGTTACAGTAATTATTTGTTTATCTACTTATTCAATGACAGTAGTTATTTACTTATTTATCATATATTCATATTCAATACTTTCAACATTCATATTTCAATATTTTCAACTTACGATGGGGTCACTGGAATGTAACTCCATTGTAAATCAAGGAGCACCTACTTGGGAAATGGGAAGCAAGATATGATGCAACTAAGTGAAGAGTGGCTCCAATTCTTTGGATGAAGAGACTCCTCCTTGATGTACATGCATGATAGAGAATGCCAATAATTAAGTCTGCTGACACAATCTTTGCAAATTTACTAACAGTAATAAGAGATCTTACCCAGGAAGTGTGTAGTGACAGCATGAGTGATATTAGTTCCCAGTTCTGGTGCAATAGCAGCACGAGCACACAGTCTGGCGAACATAGTGCGTATGAGGTGCTCCCCGCATCCCGTTGTGCTAACTCCTACACTTACACCGCTGCCTGGCACAAAGCAATCCACATTAACCGTTAGCAAACCCATATGATGTGAAAATATTACCTTACTTCTTATGAATCGCTATAACAAAATTTAAGTCTTTAAAAATAAATTCTAAGTTACATAATATTGAGCTGTCTAGAGTAAACACTTTAATTTACAATATGTATAAAGTACTCATAACTTTCTAATAACATTGTACAGTAATATACAGTACTCAATGCTTTCAGTAACACTGTACAATAATAATAATAATAATAATGTATATTTCAAGCCAACTAAGCCACTTATTCAACTACCTCATCATAAACTTACAGTCTCATGCAGATTTCCCCCCCCCCCCCAAGAGAAAATAGTGTTATGTACCTATTTATTAAATAGTACCAATCCATACTATAATTATTTGTTGATCCGGGTATGTGTACAAAGAACTGATGTGGTTCTGTTGGACCTAGATGGATGCAGTGAGGTTCATACTGTCAAAAATAAGTACGTATATATGGCTTAAAAAAAAAATTATCTTAAATTTTGGTTGCTGGTACATGTTCATCTTTAAATGTGCACAGAGGGGTTGCTGTAGTTCTACTGGGCCTAAGAATGATTATTACATTGTATGACCTATAAACAATAAGCCCAGGAAATACAAAGATGTGTAATAAAGTGGACCCCCGCATAACGATTACCTCCGAATGCGACCAATTATGTAAGTGTAATTATGTAAGTGCGTTTGTACGTGTATGTTTGGGGGTCTGAAATGGACTAATCTACTTCACAATATTCCTTATGGGAACAAATTCGGTCAGTACTGGCACCTGAACATACTTCTGGAGTGAAAAAATTATCGTTAACCGGGGGTCCACTGTATATTTCAGAAACTGTTCATATGCAATAACCTCAAGAATAATCTTATGATAGCTGTAACTAGTTTTGTGAGTTCTTCTACCCTTGTTGCCACACTTGTGTGTTCAATGCCTGATCAGTAAGGTTGTTTCTGCCTGGAGTTAATGAGTTAATACAGCTATAGAGTCATCACAACTTGTCACTTTCTACAGGAACTGAGCCTATTTCCTCTTGAAGCTTTCTAGTTTTATTTCAGCAATATTTCTTATATCTGCTAGTAGAAGTTTGATGAGCAGTGTCACCAGGATGTTGACACAGTATTCTTTAATTGTGTCTAAGGTGCCCCTGCTTTTCACCGAGTTTCTTTTACATGCTTTAACACATCTCTCGCTGTGGTAAACTATAGCAGTACATGTATGTACATTAGGAGCTTCACCCATAAGAATTTTCCATATGCAGCACAGTAGTGTACAGTGGACCCTCAGTTAACGATGCCATCGGATAGCAATAAAATCAGATACTGATACGTTTTTGTGTCAAAATACTGGCTCAGCTAACGATAAAAAACTTAGTTAAGGACATTCATCCAGAACATGTCCGCGCGACCTGAGCTGCCTGGCCACTCCAGTGTGCCATTGTTTACAAGCCACTGAGGACGATTCCACACGTACATGCGATACATTTTGTATTATTCCATTGTTTTTAGTGCTTGTAACTGCTAAATAAGCCACCATAGGCCCAAAGAAAGCTTCTAGTGCCAGCCAGCCCTTTGGTAAAGGGCTGAGAGAGAGGGGAGAATGTACCTTTTTCAGTGATTCTGCAATATGTACAATACTAAAGCAGCAGAGTCTATAAAGGCTATAGCGGCAGCCAGCGATAAAGTACAGCATTAACTATAGCAAGTAAGTTAAGCGATTAATCAATAGAAAAAGGACAGCACGAACCTAACTCCTCCAATGTTGGTGGAGTTATGTAGGGTGACTGACAACACCGCCATCTCTAGTCTCTACCACCTCTGCTGCCTCCACCACCACTATGTATGGCTTATGCTCTCAGTGGCCCTTATATACCCAACAACAACAACACAGCAACACTTGTGACATACTTAATGACATATTTTATTCATTCTAGAGTATGTCATGTTTCTATGTTATTAATATTGTTTATTATGTCATATTAGATGAATTGTGCTAGATAAATAAGCCATAGAGCTGATATTAGTGTCATACTGAAGGGCTATCTTGTCTCCCAACACAATTTCTAATATACGCCAGAAACAGACCTTTCTGGAAAACTTTTTTGAGTGACAGGGGTCCAGTGGCTCTCAAGCTGGTCCTAGTGGCATTAAAAAACTAAGGAAAGAAGTAACCCAGGATAAGGACTTGGTACCTGAAGTCTTTATGGAGTGGGATTCCCCTTCCAAACAATTGTAAACTCCTCCATCTTCTCCCCTCCTCCCATCTTCCATACATCACCATGTCTTCAATAAAAGCAAGTGTGATGTTATTATTGTTTTATTCTCCGTGTATCATTGTTTTCTATGTAGGGAAATGTATATTTCATGTAAAAAATTATTTTGTTTAATACTTTTGTATGTCTGAAACAGATTAATTGGATTTCCATTATTTCTTATGGGGAAAATTAATTCGGATAACGATAAAATCGGTTAAGGACAAGCTCTCTGGAACAGATTAATATCGTTAACTGAGGGTCCACTGTATGTACTATCTGGTGTGCCTATCTACAGAATACAAATGGGCTTTGCACATGGTTTCAAATTCTCAGCAAATGAGGTGAACTCTACTATATTTGGTGCTCTGTTATTCCCTTTTTTGTACTGTCCCTCTATGGTTCTCTTATCCCAGTCTACCAAACTGTTAATTAAATTTTTGGGTCTCCACTTTGACTGTAGAATATCGAGGAAATTTCTCATAACAGCTCTAAAAGCAATATGTTTTAGAAGGTTCAATTTACTGAAAAAAAAAATTGTCACACTTTACTTGAGGGCTGAGAGTTAAGTTCTTCTCCATACTGTCTTGGTTCTGTTTAAACTTGATTATGGGATCAGGTGTATCCCTCTGCTTTTAAAGTAATTCTCACCAAACCTGATGCCATCCATCATCAAGGATTATGTCTATGTCTTGGTGCCTTTCAATTAACCCCAGTCAAAAGTCTATACATAAAATGTAATGTTCCTTCATTACCAGACCAGCTGTTTGGTTTGTTATCAAGACCTTCATGACAGCAAAACTGATGCTTTCCACTATCTTTCTTCCTTATCGCACCCTTTTAACCTTTGTCTTCAGATTCTAGTTACTTCTCTCGATCTACCACCCTTACCTGTTCAGCCTGTTCATTCTTTTTCTGTTCCTTCTCTCGAGGTACCAATGATTCCATTATGTCCCTCCCTCTCTCTTTCCAAAATCTCATATCCCTGTTATTAAAATGCTCTCCTTATTCACTGATCGTTCTCAAATAGCACGCATATCACATGTTACTGCTGTGTACACTGACAACTCTAAATCCTCTGGCGTAGGATACGTAACTGTTTTTCCTGATGGTGCAATACAGAGATACTTACTGGATTTCTTTAACAATTTCATGGCAGAGTGATATGCACTTTTGAAAGCCATAATTCACATTGCTTCTCATCCTACTTCCTCTTGCTTGGTCTCTGACCCTCTTAAGTGCATTGCAAACTCTTTAGGGTTCTGACTTCTGGAATCCCATTATCCATCCCATTCAACACTGGCTGTGTCGTGTCTTTAGCAAACATAATGTTATCATCTTTAGTTGGGTCCCTGGTCCTGCTGGTGTCCAGGGCAACCAACTTGCAGATTCTTCTGCACATTCCATAGCAGCAATTTATTCCAACTATTTTCCAGTTTTGTGTAAGAGCAAGTAGGATCAACTTCAAGATCATTGGTCTGAGTTAACTGGCAACAAGTTCTTAATTAAACCACAGCTGAGTTCTTGAATTTTCCTTTCACCAATGATACACTTGGGAAACAGTCCTTGCACATGTGTGTCATTGCCATACAAGCCTGGCACATAGATAACAAATGGAGAGGTGCCCTCCATCTCTTTATGCAACTTGTCAAGTTTCACCAAGTCCATTTATGAGCACGCAGGATTCAGTTTCAATCCATTTTTTGTGCGCCTGGGCTGCTCTTCTTTTGGAAAACTCTTTCATTACAGACACACTATGATTTCTTAGTAATCCTGGATTTATTATGCCAACTCTAACTGTCCTTGTTGACCCATAAGTTCATCTGCTGAACCACCACCCTCAGCCTTCACAATATATATCATCTGGCATCTTTCTCCTTTCTGTTCCAACAAGTACATTACAGTATAAACATTCGAGTCATTCCCAGTACTCAAGATGATTTATTAGTACAGTGGACCCTCAACCAGCGATATTAATTCGTTCCTGAGAGCTCATCGTTAGTCAAAATAATCGTTAGTCAAGTTAATTTTCCCCATAAGAAATAATGGAAATCAAATTAATCTGTGCAAGACACCCAAAAGTATTGAAAAAAAAAAATTTTTACCACATGAAATATTAATTTTAATACACACAAACTGAAGATTACATGCACAGTTACATGACACTTACCTTTACTGAAGATCTGGTGATGATTGATGGGATGGGAGGAGGGGAGAGCGTTATCTTCTTACTGTTTAGAAGGGGAATCCCCTTCCATTAGCACTTGAGGCAGCAAGTCTTTTTCTGGGGTTACTTCCCTTGTTCTTTTAATGCCACTAGGACCAGCTTGAGAGTCACTGGACTTCTGTCGCACAACATATCTGTCCATAGAGGCCTGTACCTCTTGTTCCTTTATGACTTTCCTAAAGTGGTTCACAACATTGTCAGTGTACAGGTTGCCAACACGGCTTGCAGTAGCTGTGTCAGGGTGATTATCATCCATAAAGCTTTGCACTTTAAGCCACATTGCACAGATTTCCTTAATCTTAGAAGTAGGCAACTTCTTCAATTTCTTTCTTCCCTCCTCCGAAGCAGTTTCCTCAGGTCTGCCCTCTTGCTGTTCAAGATGATCCTGCAGCTCATCAGTGGTTAGTTCTTCACTGTCCTCCACCACCAACTCTTCCACATCCTCCCCACTAACCTCCAACCCCAAGGACTTCCCCAATGCCACAATGGATTCCTCAACTGGCATAGGATTCTCAGGGTTAGCCTCAAACCCTTCCAAATCCCTTTTGTCTACACATTCTGGCCACAGTTTTTTCCAAGCAGAGTTCAATGTCCTCTTAGTCACTTCCTCCCTAGCCTTACCTATAATGTTTACACAATTGAGGATGGTAAAATGATCTTTCCAAAACTCTCTTAGAGTCAGTTGAGTTTCTGAGGTCACTACAAAGCACCTTTCAAACATAGCTTTTGTGTACAGTTTCTTGAAGTTGGAAATAACCTGCTGGTCCATGGGCTGCAGGAGAGGAGTGGTATTAGGAGGCAAAAACTTCACCTTAATGAAGCTCATGTCCCTAGAAAGTCGCTCTGCCACATCTGTAGGATGACCAGGGGCATTGTCTAATACCAGGAGGCACTTAAGGTCTAATTTCTTTTCAATTAGGTAATTTTTCACATCGGGGGCAAATGCATGGTGTAACCAGTCATAGAAAAAGTCCCTAGTGACCCATGCCTTACTGTTTGCCCTCCACAGCACACACAAATTAGCCTTGAGGACATTGTTTTTCCTGAACACTCTGGGGGTTTCAGAGTGATACACCAATAAAGGCTTCACTTTGCAATCACCACTAGCATTGGCACACATCAACAAAGTAAGCCTGTCTTTCATAGGCTTATGTCCTGGAAGTGCCTTTTCCTCCCGAGTAATGTACGTCCTGCTTGGCATTTTCTTCCAAAACAGGCCTGTTTCGTCACAATTAAACACTTGTTCAGGTTTCAGTCCTTCACTGTCTATGTACTCCTTGAAGTCCTGCACATATTTTTCAGCCGCTTTGTGGTCCGAACTGGCAGCCTCACCATGCCTTATCACACTATGAATGCCACTACGCTTCTTAAATCTCTCAAACCAACCTGTGCTGGCCTTAAATTCACTCACATCACTAGTTGCTGGCATTTTTTTAATTAAATCGTCATGCAACTTCCTAGCCTTTTCACATATGATTGCTTGAGAGATGCTGTCTCCTGCTATCTGTTTCTCGTTTATCCACACCAATAAAAGTCTCTCAACATCTTCTATCACTTGCGATCTCAGTTTCGAAAACATAGTTGCACCTTTGGCAAGAACAGCTTCCTTGATTGCCGTTTTCTTGCCCACAATAGTAGCGATGGTTGATTGGGGTTTATTATACAACCTGACCAGCTCAGAGATACGCACTCCACTTTCATATTTATCAATGATCTCTTTCTTCATCTCCATAGTAATTCTCACCCTTTTTGCTGTAGGGTTGGCACTAGAAGCTTTCTTGGGGCCCATGGTGACTTATTTTGCAGGTGCAATCACTAAAAAGGCTGTGATATGAAATTTTCCAGTTGTATGTTTGGAAGCGACCGCGGTGGCTGGCTGGCTTGTAGACACTGGCACCAAAGGGACATGTGAGGCACGCTCAGGCCAAAGTGGACGCGTATGGCACGGAATGAAAAGCGCTGGTTGGGTTTTTAAGCGCTAGTCGAGGCAAAATTTTTGCATTTAAATGAATCGCTAGTCAGATTTATCGTTAATCGATGCCATCACTGGTTGAGGGTCCACTGTACTATACAGGAAGTAAAAGATCTCTGCATGTTTTCCAGCATCAAAATCTTTTATCTTGAACTTTTCGTTTCTGGCCTGCTTCTCATTTAACTCTTACTTTATCTGTCTGCTGGCTCTGTCCCATTTTCTCCTTAACCCCTTCAGTTTTGGTTCAGTTATATAACGGCTTTGAAACCAGCGACAGTCCTGAAGTACAACGCCATGATCTCGGCTCATTCAAATAAGCTGTGAGCGGCAAATCTTTGCCTAGATATGAGACAATGGGTCCATGCAGTAAGTGTGCACCATATAAAAAAATCTTTCAGCATGCAGTGCATGAGAAAAAAAAACTGTGACCGTGTTTCTGGTATAAAACAGCAAATTTGTTGTGTATTTTCGTATGGTTTTTATGGATATATTCTTGATTTATTGGTCTCATTTGATAGAATGGAAGATATATTACAGAAATAGAGATGATTTTGATTGGTTTCGGGACAGAAAGTAGATTGAAACTGAGCTCAAATTAGTGGAAATGCTCGACTTTTGCCGATATTTCAGTATACACAAATGATGTAGGTAGTCCAATACGAACCCATGTTGCCAGTCTATTACACATTTAGAAATGCACTGATATTATTTATACAATTATTATAATAATGCAGTAGTGTGCATAACAGTAAATTTTCTATTTTTTTTGTGTTTATCTGGAGTTTATCTGGAGAGAGTTCCGGGGGTCAACGCCCCCACGGCCCGGTCTGTGACCAGGCCTCCTTAGGTCAGTGTCCCAGGATGCGACCCACACCAGTCGACTAACACCCAGGTACCCATTTTACTGATGGGGAACATAGACAACAGGTGGAAAGAAACACGTCCAATGTTTCTACTCTGGCTGGGAATCGAACCCAGACCCTCACCGTGTGAAGCGAGAGCGTTAACCACCAGGCCACCAGAGCATAATATAAGAGGGGCCTGGAGACACGACTAAGGAACAGAGGAAATGTTTTAGTGTCAGGAATGTCTACAATGTTTATTCTGGACCCTATTTTGAAACTGGCAATTTTTTGTGTGTGAAATTGGCCAAATTACCAATTTCTGAACACTTTACTGGGTAGTTGAAAAAAGTAAATGGGCAGTTTTTTGTACCCCAATTGATAGAAGGAATACAAGCAAAATAGCTACGAGTTTAATAGACTGGAACAATGGAAGTGACCAAAAATAGGGCACAAAGTAGGCAAAATTGCCGATGCATCTATATCATCGAGCCTGCTAACTTTGCGAGAGCATAATTCCATAAGCTTTCCATCAAATTTCTTACTTTTGGTTTCATTACCTTCAGAAAAAGATTCTCTATCATTTCATAAAATAAAATAATTTTTTTTTAATTTCTTCAACCATGAGAGCAGGTTTGATATCAGGTGTCCACCCTGAAAGGGTTCACCTGTCACTCAATGATGAGCCAGGATGGACAATCATCAACTTTTGAGTTAATTGTTAAATTATGTGGTGAGTATGTATTTGTTTGGTACAATTTTGTCAAGAAACACAGCATCTGTAATTAAAATTATTTTGCGATTTGTTTTTGGATGATATACACTGATGAAAATACTCAAAGAGTTCAAATGAACACGACAGTAAACATAAAAATAAAAAAAATAAAACTCCTAACCCCCATGAAATGTCTACCAGCTGAATTCTGCACCCACAATTCCAACAGTCCAGCACCACTATGTAGAATTCTGGAGTTACACGTACCATCACAATTGTTCTCGGCCCAACAGCCACAGCCATACACTGCAGCTTGTCCAACTCTCCCTGTATGCTTGAGAAGAAGACCGCCACTAGACACAGCACTAGCAACGTAGCCAGAGCCATCAACACACACAGCACCAACAGTGTCTAGAAGTCCACCCTGAAATATTATCTACACTATAGACAGTATTTAATAACATGAATTTATTATACACTGTCATTATTTTTCTTTGTCATCTTAACAAGAGTGAATATTTCAGGTAAGTGGTAGAAAATAATATAAGTCAACAAATGGTAATTTAACTACATTTCAAACAGGTAAGAAAAACCTTTATTATTACAATATCTGGCTTACAGTG